AAAAAAAAAAAAAAAAGAACAAAGTATCATAAGCATATTGGATGTGGGTTATATGCACCTTCTCTTTGCCTATCTTGAATCCTTCTATAATGTCTCTTTCTTTACAAGCATTCACAAGTTTCTAAAGGAATCCTTACTGGAGTGAAAGGGAAAGGGGACAAGGGGTTCCTTTGCCCCAAGCCCCTGGAAACAATGGATTTCCCTTGGTCTTCCATTAGTTATGATAGAGAAACGGGAGGTCCTTTTTGTAGTTTGTTGGGCTCCTTTAGTTGGATAATTTTTTTTTATGTCCTTGTACGTCCTTTCATTTCTCTCAATGAAAGCCTTTTTTTTATTTTTTATTAAAAGATGATGATAGAGATCCAAGAATCCATTTTATCCATTTGCTTCCAAACCTCCAAGATTATTATACGAATGTCAGTAGAAATGTTGTTAGAGTATTAAGGGTACATTAGTAGTTAGGGCGCATTTTAGGATATTTGGTTTATAACTAGAGGGAGTGAGTGGAAGAGGGTAGACATTTATTCAATGGGTTTGGGTTAGGGCTTGAGTGAGAGTGGTCAAGAAAGTGGAGGTTCCAAGTACCTTGAGTATTTTTTTATCTTGTAGCTATGTTACTTTTACATTGAAATATTTTTGGGGTTCTATCAAATTGGTTTCAAAGTTGCCCGTTCCGGCCATGGAGTTAGATGCAAATGTACATGAGAATATGTTAAACATTTTATGTGAAGTGGTGGAGTGTTTGAATTAGATTTTCGATTCATTTCAAGATACATTGAAACAGAGTTTCAAATAAATTAGAGAGAGAATGGCAGTGAGAAGAGAGAAGATAATATTGGCAAAGATGAAAAGAAAAGAGAAAAAAATCACGATAGAGTTGGGTAGCTCAACTAGCAAATGGATGGCCATTAGAGTGAAGTCACAAGGACAAAAGCATCATTAAAATACTCAAAAGAGGAAGGAGGATATAAAGAATGAGAAATTGATGGAGAAAAAAGTAAGAATAGGTTGAAGAAACGAACTAGGTCACACAGACAAGATGAAGGAGTCCAAAAACATGACTTTCAAAATGAACCAATGAAGACGATATGGGGAGGTTGATTCATTGTCCGTGGGTATTCAAAAGCCTCATGAAGGGGCTGGGAGGGAGTTTAAACCCACAGAGGCGAGATGTCCAAGGGAGATCTATCGGCAAGTAGAGATTGGTGATAACAAATGTTCAAAGAGAGGTCTCTAGCAGTTGCTCCTTCTATGGCTGGAGATGGAAAACGTTTTTAGAGACGCCTATGCAAGCATTGTGAAGAGGCAACAAATGAATCAAAGGTTGATGGACATGAGGAAAAAGGGAATAGAAAAGGACAAGTGCTTAATGGAGACTGACACCAACAATGAACATATGCGGAGATAAATATGAAGTTCTGGTGAAGGTGGAAACGCAACCTTCGTGAAAATGGAATTTGATAGGAAAATGATCTGAAGTAGTTCTTGCAAGTCTAGTCACTCTTACTGTGGAGAAGAGGTCCAGCCATCCTCCCATAATTAAGAATCTGTTCTGATTAGATAAAGTAAGTGGGCTTCTAATGCGTGCCCAAGTAAATGATAAAGTAGGTTGAAAATGACATCATATTTGGCAAATCTATCTTGAAGAGGTTTCCTTCTCCCTTTCCAGCTAGGTATCCTTCTAGTTCCTCATTTGTAATCAAAACTGGATCCAAAATCTGTGATTTGGGCAAATACAATTAAAGCAAGTATTTCAGAAATTTTGAATGAAAGAAAGGGTGTTTGATGATAAATTTACTGCGATGGAAGAAAATTGATGTTCATAAATATGAAGCATCTTCATAGTGCTCCTTATGTTCTTTATTTTTGTAATTTTTCTTCGAGGGATTTCTTGTGCATTTGGGATTCATTTTTATACCCCTGAGTTTGGGATCTTTGATTGTGTAAGGTTTACTTATCTACTCGTACAGGGACTCTCTCTGTAACTTTCACTGATTTAATGAATGTCGTTTTCTCATGTTTTTTCTCTTAATATTTTATTTGTTATTTGTAGGTTCATTTTGTCAAATTATGTAGCTGTCTTCAGGATATTAGTTCCATATGAGCAGGTGGTTACTGTAGTTTACCTAAGAAACTTGTACTTTGACATTTATATGTTTTTTCTTTGATAAAATTTTAATATTGAAATGATTACTTAAAAATTTAACAGGTTTTGCGTCATCAGATATGTTCTCTTCTTATGACATCACTTCGTACAAATGCTGAGGTGATTGATTTGGAAAATTTGTGAACTAAATCTTTAGCTTCGATAACCATTCTTGTTGAGATCTTGGTAACAAATTGGCTTCCTTTTGCCCCATTTCCATGTCATGTTAGATTGAAGGTGAAGCAGGGGAGCCTTATTTCCGACGCATAGTCTTGCGGTCAGTTGCTCATATTATCAGACTATATAGTACATCCCTCATCACTGAATGTGAGGTCTGTTCTATGAGAATAACTTTTTGATTGTGACATGATAATTTGGATAATGAACTTTATTAATAGTTCTTTGTTATTGTTTGACATCCATTACACTTGGTATGCACTTATTCAACCTTAATTAGTTCAAAAATTTCAGCACCAATACTTGAATGCTTCATATGCATCAGACCTTCTGATAACTGTTTTAGTTCTTATTTATAATAGTTATAATTGCTAATTGTGTATACCTTACCAATATCAGGATAAGTATTCCCATTTTCAATAACAATGCCTATGTTTTTGCTTTTTTGGTGGCTTGAGGAAAGTTCTTTATTTAGTTTGTCTCATCCAAAATATTCTTGGTGTCCAACTGGTCGGACTTCATTAAATCTGGTTTGAGAGGGATCAAAGGATATTTTAAGATAAGCCTAGAGTTCGGATTGAGAATTTTGATTTAGTTATTGCTATTATCGCTATTATCTCTAAGAAGCAAACTTTTGATTGATGGGTATTAATTACAAAAGAGGAGGGAATAACCCACTGAGAAGTCCTGAGGAGAAAACAAAAGATTACTTCAATTGGTATTCATAAAAAGATAGTCGTAATTATCTTTCCATGAGTACCAATTGAAGAAGAGGTTTTTGTGGTAAGTTGGAGTCTGTACGGTGTTGTAAGGTCGGAGGAGAGACAACAAAACTCTCTAGGAGTGTTGAGAGGGGCCCTTGTGATGTTTGGTCCCTCACTGGGTTTTTGTATCTCATTGGATGTCCATGACGAAGTTTTTTATTTTTTATTTTTTTATTTTTAAATTTAATATTTTTTTATTTATAATTATTTACTAGGTCTCATTTTATTGAGCTGGATTCCCTTAAATAGTATTTTTTTAGGTGCTTTTTTTTAATCCCCTGTATTCTCTTTTTTTCTCAACTAAATGAAAGTTGAGTTCTTATTTAAAAAAAGAAAGAAAGAAAGAAGATAATTGTAATTATAGAAATTTGATAAAGTGTGCTTGAGAAGGAATACCATATATATTTTTCTTGGTAAGAAACAAAGGAATACATCTTTGTGTCTTGAATGTATAATCTTTTCTGATAAGAAACAAAAGAAACAAAGGAATCCCATAATTTAACAATGCCCGGAAGCTCAAGCCACCCTCCAGATCTTTTTAATTTGTCTAGAAAAGATGGGTCGTTTTCATTTTTTCCATAAAAGGAAACAAGAATTTTCATTGATGAAATGAAAAATTACATAAGGCTAGGAAGAAAACATTTTGTTTTTGACCAAGTGGCCAAAAAACTTTGGACACATGATGGACACACCATAGACACATCCTAGACACGCCATTCAAAAATCCAAACCTTTCAAGTGTCTGCGGTAGAATGATGATGTTGGTGGAGGCAGATGTTAGCAAAGCAACGACATTAATAGAGAGGGTCAATGTGGAAGTCCATCAAAGGTATAGGTGGGGAGAGATGGAGAGTGAAGAATATGGGGAGGGGGGAGGGAAGCATAATGAAAAATACCTTGGGGAGGGAAGAAGATTTTAGGGTTAGGTTTTTTTATTAATTATTATTCTTAAATTACAAACTTTTTCATAAATTTGTTATGTGGGCTTTTAATGGATACTTTTGGCATGTTTTCTTTTGTCCTTACTGAATTTAGGTGGGCTCTTGTGATTTATTAGATTTCATGTTCAATTAAATTCTAAACTTAACTCAATGGGCAATTAAGAGCGTTTGTGTAGACAATCTAGATTCTCTTTTAGGTTTTCAAATTTCTTTGTGTTCAATGAATATGCCTTTGGTAGATGTGTTTTTGAAAATTGTTCTCCAATTATGTGATCCAAATGGTGGAAATTCTGAAACAAATTTTTTATGTTGTCATTGTATTCAAATTTTGAATATGAAAGTTTTAAATGTAGAATTATATTAAAAAACTATGTTCACGTTATGTCTGGGTCCATGCTTCTTGGGGTCGCGCATAAAAAGAACTGAAAAAAACTATTAGGCATGCTTGATTACATGGTTCTGAACCCAAACATGCTTGAAAAACTGGCCTACAAAGCTAAAAAGCTATGCGACCTTTACAACAAATGCCCATATTTCAAACTGCGCATAAGCTTGCATCATCTATTGCACTGCCCCAAGAAAAACTATCTGCTTACATATTTAGACAACACTTTTAAAAGGTATAAACACTTGAAGCAATAACCAAAGCATCTTGAAAGGAAGAAAACAGCACCAACTATATTTTTCTATCTTAAAGGACCTTTGGCTAGAATGGAGTTCTTTGATACCTGTATTTTAGTCTCATTTCTGTTGAAGCTAAGTAATGGAGTTTTTTGCTTCTCATTGAGAATCTAAATCTATTGTATAACTATAACTTTTTTATTTTTTTATACTAAATGCAGGTTTTCCTCAGTATGTTATTGAAGGTTACTTTTCTTGATCTACCACTGTGGCATAGGATTCTTGTTCTTGAAAATTTGAGGGTAACTCTAATTAAGTTGATTATATGTGAATTGGTGGTTTGAATTCTGGCTTTGTTTTTGTTTTGTGTGTGTAGAAGTTTCTAATAATTAGAATTTGTCACGATCTTGATAGGGTTTTTGCATGGAGGCTAGGACATTGCAGGTTCTTTTCCAGAACTTTGATATGTGAGCTTACCAACTCCCGTTTATTTTATTTAATTGTGTTTTACATACAAATTAGAAAATGCATGTCCATAGCAGTTTAAATCTTTGAAGATACTATATTTATATAATTAAAAACCTTTTGGGTTTCATAGAAAATATTGTAAAACATTATATTAAAATAAATTGATAAATAAATAAATGACTTTTCATAAATAATTGAATTATAATAAAACATGAAAACGAGTGGGGGGATTTGACCCACATCTACCGTTCACCTCTCTCGATCCAAATGACAAATGGAGTTAAGAGCTTGAAGCAAATGGTATTTTCTCCTCGAAATCTTTGCTAGAAGACATCAGCTACAAAGAGACAGACCAATGAGGTCTTGCCGTATAGTATATGGACTGATCACTACCCAAAGAAAATCTGAAAATTAACATTTTCTTATAGGAGTATTACACTGTGCAGTCCTCACCTATGACAGATTGCAGCATCACTACCTATAATGGCTCTAGGGATGGCAAAAAAATACCCGTGGGGATCCCAACTCTGGGCGGGGAATCGCTGATTTGACTGGATGTGGAGTCGAATCGGGGATTCTTTTGAGTCTCAGACAGGGATGGGGATTGACCTGAACCTGCCCCGAATAATATTATTTGATTATTTAGATATAAAACGTATATTATAAGTGTTTATATGTGCGTGTGTATGTGTTATAAACCCTTTACTGTGTAGTATCTGTTTTTAGTTCCTATTTTTCTTTTCTTTTTTTTTTTTTTTAAAAATTTGTATTATACTGTTACTAGACATAATTTTGTAATATAATAGTTTTGATATTAAATTTATAACAAAAATATATTGAATATTTTAAAAATTAATCATTTAATAAACAAAAATATAACAATACGAACATAAAAGTAATAATTTTAATATATGTATTGATTTTTAATTATTTTGTGTTAAAAAAATAAATAATAAAAGATAAGAAATTTTCCTTGTGGGGTCCAATCCTTGAACAGAGATTTCTTGACTCCTACCTGACTCCTCAAAACGGGGAATTGGACGGGAATGAGGATGAAAAATTCCCATGAGGACAGAGATGGGGAGTGCATCCTTGATCTCGCCTTCTTCCGTTGCCATCCCTAGTGTTTTATCTCCACATTGGTGTATTCTCGACAACAAGGAGAGAGTCCTGAAGTCAACTTTTCTATCTTTGTGGGTTTGCCTGCAAACTTTGTAGTATATATATATATATATATATATATATATATATATATATTTTAAATTTGCTAGTGCCCTCCCTATGGACCTTCATGAACTCCTCTCTCTTATTCTGGGGTCATCCTCTCGGAGATAAGAAAAAGCTTCTTTGGATGCATATTGTCGGAGCCTTTTTTGTTGTTAGTTTAGATTATGAGAAAACATTATATCTTCAACAACATAGCTTAATCTGGTTAATTGGGAGGTAGATGGTTTGGCGTGTGGAGTTGACTAAGTGGTTGTGGTTGTTTTTCATGGAGCCTAATGCTGTGTGGTACAAGGTCATTGTTAGTTAGTATGGCTCGTACCCTTCTGAGTGGGTTGCTATGGGTGGTACCAAAAGGCCTGAGAAGTTAGTATGCTGTGTGGCACAAGGAGAGTGAACTTCATTTTGGCTTGTGTTGGGTGTGGAATGGTGATTGTTACATGCTAAGACTGAGAAGGTGCATTTGAGTTTGCCTTCTCGTGAAAAGGGAAAAGTTTTGTAGTACGCTAGTTTCTTCACTATCTTGTGGGGAGTTCAGCTCGAGAGAAACAATAGGATGTTTAAAATTGAGGAGTGGTCTTGTGATGAGTTTGGAGAGGTAGTGAGGTTTAATGCCTCCTTGTGGACATCGGTCACTAGGCCCTTTTATACTTATGATCATGGTTTGATTTTGTCGGATTGGAGTCCCTTTTTGTTGGGCTTGGTTTTCGTTATGCACTTGTTTTCTCTTTTATCTTTCTCAATGAAAGTTGGTCCCGTACTAAAGAAAAAAAAAAAAAAAAAAAGTAAAAAAGACAATAAAGCTCAATCTTTTGATAGATTTTGATCATGCCATCTTCCTAGTTATATCTTGGTGTAAATTATCCCCTCCTTTTTCTTTCTTTAGCGTTGATTTTCTTTTGGTCCTAATGGAATAGTCCTATGTCACTCCCTTGGCTTGGGAAACTGCGCCTCTATTTGTTTTTTTTGCAAGTTCCTTACATAATGAAATTGTTTTTTTATTTTATTTTTATTTAAAAAAGAATACTATTGCAGAAGTGTAACTCGTGGCACACTCGGTAGACATTTTTGCTTTTCTTCTGTCGTTGTTACCTAAGAAAATGTAAGAGTGTGAACGTTAAATTACTCTAAGTTGGCAACAGGGTTAGAGATGTATACACTCATGATATCATAAAACATATAACATGAGTTATGAAATCCTTTTAACAGTCAAAGATATTAGAACATAATTTATGTTCTCTTTCTAAGCCTTTAATTGGCTTCTATTTACCGGATATATGCTTTAACTGGATTTTATATCTTTTTTTATTGTTTTTCTTTTACCGTTTTTGTTTTCACTATCTTGTGGGGTTGGTATTCTGTAAGCATTAGACTTTTAGGTTTTATTGTTTCTCACAGGACATCTGTGTACCCCAATGTATATTAATTACTTATTTTCATTGATCTTGCAGGCATCCGAAAAACACAAATGTTGTTGAAGGCATTGTTAAATCCCTTGCTAGAGTTGTCTCCAATGTTCAGGTATTTATTTCAATTTCTCAACTGTCACTTTTCCAGGTAGCTTTATGACTTGGGATAATTAGCAGTAAAAGGGTAAAAGAAGAAATGAGATGGAGGAAATGAGAAATCAAGATTGGTTATGAGGAAAAAAGGATTGAACACAAGAACACTGGCTCCACTTGTTGGAATATCCAAGGACATCAATACAATACAAACTTAATTAGTGGAAAATTCAACAACTCTGTTTGCATGTGGAATTAGTTTGTTTCACTGTGGTGTAGCCTATTATGATTCAAAAGTGTTCAATACAAGAGATCGACCCTCTATTGATAGAGAATTGAATAACAAACTAAGTACTTAATAAATTACAAAAGATTTTAACCGAAGTGAGTAAACTAACTCACTATGTCAATTCTGTTTTTAGGTATTATGTATCTTCAACATTATGTTTGGGTAGCTTTCTTTCTTTGTTTTTTTAATTCTTTTTTTTTTTAATCTTGAATTTCTTGCCATGTGTAACTTGTTTCAATTTCTTCTGGAATGCTGCCCATTGACTTTTGGTATTTACCTTCAGTTTGAGTTAGATTATTTGGCTCTAAATCCGAATTGAAATTTTTATCTGTCCAATGATGTTTGTGGTCAAGGAATCCACTTTGAAACTTTGGCGTTGTCCTTTTCAATTTTTGGTCATAAATGACCTTAGTTTGGATGAAATTGATGTGTTAAAATTTAGAACCTTTGTACAACGTCCAAGATTATTTCTCACTCTTGCTTGATACCAACATTTTGTAGGACTCTCATAATCAATCCAAAATTCATCTTCATATTCGTTTGAGTCCTCAACATTTGATAGGTGTTCTCATGGATCATAATAACAATAAGAATTGAATTGAGATCACAATTCTTGTGCAACTCTTGACCCAAAATCTCTTGCTTTTATCCAAGAGCTCATGTTCTTCAAAGTCTATTCCATGAACGGTAAGATATTTCTTTCTTGCACCACTGGTTCCTATACCAAGCCATGAAATCGTGAATCATAATCAAAATATTAAGATCAATTCTTGGTGGAAGAAATAATCTCTAGTTCTTGGAGTCATTGGAATCGGAACCCAATCTTGATTTCCATTGTCTTCGAATCCAACCTTGCACGAATCAGAATCCCACTCTTGATTTCTATTGTATGGTTGAAATCTTTGTCTTTCTTGTGCATTATATCTCCAACAGCTCATCTTTCTTAGGTTGTAGTTCTTAGTTCTTACAAATCTTGTATTGGATTTTGGTTTTCCATCATGGCGTCTATTTCTATGATCTTTTCTTGCAAAGAGGGTATTCCAACAGGTATCCCCTTGTAATTTGGCGTGCACAGTCTTCTGACAAAGGAGATAACTATTCAACAAATCTAACCCGAAGGATTATCTGATCAATCAAAAGTATTGTTTCCTTTTGGAAAAAGAAAAGGAGCTCTGAGCATAAATTGATGTTGTATAAAAACCTGATAATTTTTGTCTCTTTTGTCTGGTGGTGGCTAATTTGTGGTACATATATTTGATATTATTGGAATCCTAATGCCTTTTCTGTGGGGCATAAAAGAGTTTGTGCGGCCATAGTTCGAAGAAGAGAAAACAACAGATTTTGCTTAGTAGTAACTACTTCATGATTCTTTTGGATGTTTGGCTCAAAAGAAATGAATGAATTTTCATTGGTGAAGAAAGGAATTTGGATCAACTTCTGGATGCAATTGTTTTTCCTTCCTCTTGTTGGTGTCTTTAATCTAAAAACTTTTTCTGTAATCACTCTCAACCTTTTATGCAAACTAATTGAAGATCTTCCTGAAACTTCGTTATTCCTTTTTGAAATTTCATCATATCATAATCCTGTATCTAAGAGATGGGGCTCCAAAGATACTCGAATGAAGTCTGGATTATTATTTTAAAGCTCAAAATGAAATTTGCAACGCCTTAAAGAAATTGGTCAAACGAACTAAGTCTTAGAATCCCTCATGACTCTAAATGATTGCTTCATCTACAAACTTGAGGTATTAGATATTATAATATCTCTCCCAACTCCAAAAAGCAACCATGCTTTTCTAATTAATAATCAAACTTTTATTGGGAAAAAAATAAAAGTACAAGGGCAAACAAAAGGAGAGCCCACAAAAAAGCAGCGACAAACTACAAAATGGGCCTCCAATCAAGATATGAATGATTAATAAAAAGAGATAAATGTCAAACTATTTACTAATAAAAGGATATGGATATTGTAGGTCCATGAGATGAGTGAAGAAAGCCTGGTAGCTGTCGCTGGAATGTTTAGTAGCAAGGCCAAAGGTACTATTTCTCTATTTAGCTTGCCTTGTTAAATTAAATTACTCTCTTTCTATGTGATCGCTTAAAGTTGTAGTTTGCTTCTTTTCCCACATTATATCTGTTGCTACAATCAATCTGAAGTTCTTTTGGTCTTGTTTATTTATTTATTTTTGTTTATTTTTGACTGGGCAGAAGTTGCTTCTCCTCCATGTTATCATAAGTATAAACTTTTGGACTATGGATATTTCAGACATGCTAATCCTAATGATTTATTGACTGCCTGCAATTTTTTTTTTTTTTTTTTTTTTTTTTTTTTTTTTTTTTTT